ATTTGCGCTTATGAAATCATGCATCATGTGATAATATTAATATAAAGTGATTACAGCAGCAGATGTGAGGAATATCTGTCTGAACAACTATGTACACAAGCTTGGTATGTTGTCACTATTGCAGGAATTGATACGCACATTTGAAAGTTAGTTTGACGACATCCTTTTCTTAGAATTAGAGTGGCAGTGAGGGAATAAAAAGCCATCTGTTGTAGTGGATCCGCGAAATAGTGACAATTTTTAAACACTTCCAGAGTTTGAAAACGCAACAGTTAGACACCGACGTAGGTCCAACATGATTCTATTGGTGCATGATAATAGAGAGTATTTAGTGTAAGGAGGTTAGATGTAGCGTCGTCACCGGTCTTTGCCGTAATTGTTAAGGGTTGATAGGAGTTATGTACCATGCCTGTACTCTGAAAGCTTTCTGCACTCCAAATACATTGCAAACAGGTTGGAAAGAGATGTAAAAATGTGTCCTAACCGCTTCAATGACGAGAATGCTGATGAGCGACGCCAACATCAGATACAGACGGATTGGGAAACGGCCAAGAACGGAACGGTGTGGTTGCTCAGCAGTAACAGGTGACGCCGACAATGGAGCTACGTCACGGCCTATTGTGTCCCCAAAGCTGTTGACATCACAGAACGATTACGTCAACAATCACTTGACGTCATCATCAAATCTGGCTGTCAGCACGGAACACGGCAGGCAGGCTTGTTGTTGCCGTCAGACACGCCTTGGTTTACACAGGCCAATACTGACGAGATATGGACTCGAGTTCGACTCAGGTAAACCAGACCCCCTATTCCCTGCTTGAAATACAGTCTAGAGTCGCATCTGAACAAGACATACACGCTATAAACTGGCATGAGCGTGTATCCAGGGCTTGGTCATGCGTCTGTCGGTGGTGAATCGCGCTTGTTGCGCATTTGTCCTATTGTGAAAACATGTTGACAAATTCGGAGTGGATATCTGTTTATAAGCACAGTCTGAAACATTGTTGTTACCGGTAGGGCAGGGCATGCTTACCCTTTCGCGAACACCTGGTGTCATCATTGATTTTTAGTCATCCATTCATATAATTTTCACCACTAGTTTGCCATTTACGCTCAATGGAATGTGTTTCGGCGGATAATTGAGACTGATTGTTCTCTGGCGTTGACGTTATATATTTACACGTTTGTCCAACTATTTGCGCTTATGAAATCATGCATCATGTGATAATATTAATATAAAGTGATTACAGCAGCAGATGTGAGGAATATCTGTCTGAACAACTATGTACACAAGCTTGGTATGTTGTCACTATTGCAGGAATTGATACGCACATTTGAAAGTTAGTTTGACGACATCCTTTTCTTAGAATTAGAGTGGCAGTGAGGGAATATAAAGCCATCTGTTGTAGTGGATCCGCGAAATAGTGACAATTTTTAAACACTTCCAGAGTTTGAAAACGCAACAGTTAGACACCGACGTAGGTCCAACATGATTCTATTGGTGCATGATAATGGAGAGTATTTAGTGTAAGGAGGTTAGATGTAGCGTCGTCACCGGTCTTTGCCGTAATTGTTAAGGGTTGATAGGAGTTATGTACCATGCCTGTACTCTGAAAGCTTTCTGCACTCCAAATACATTGCAAACAGGTTGGAAAGAGATGTAAAAATGTGTCCTAACCGCTTCAATGACGAGAATGCTGATGAGCGACGCCAACATCAGATACAGCCGGATTGGGAAACGGCCAAGAACGGAACGGTGTGGTTGCTCAGCAGTAACAGGTGACGCCGACAATGGAGCTACGTCACGGCCTATTGTGTCCCCAAAACTGTTGACATCACAGAACGATTACGTCAACAATCACTTGACGTCATCATCAAATCTGGCTGTCAGCACGGAACACGGCAGGCAGGCTTGTTTTTGCCGTCAGACACGCCTTGGTTTACACAGGCCAATACTGACGAGATATGGACTCGAGTTCGACTCAGGTAAACCAGACCCCCTATTCCCTGCTTGAAATACAGTCTAGAGTCGCATCTGAACAAGACATACACGCTATAAACTGGCATGAGCGTGTATCCAGGGCTTGGTCATGCGTCTGTCGGTGGTGAATCGCGCTTGTTGCGCATTTGTCCTATTGTGAAAACATGTTGACAAATTCGGAGTGGATATCTGTTTATAAGCACAGTCTGAAACATTGTTGTTACCGGTAGGGCAGGGCATGCTTACCCTTTCGCGAACACCTGGTGTCATCATTGATTTTTAGTCATCCATTCATATAATTTTCACCACTAGTTTGCCATTTACGCTCAATGGAATGTGTTTCGGCGGATAATTGAGACTGATTGTTCTCTGGCGTTGACGTTATATATTTACACGTTTGTCCAACTATTTGCGCTTATGAAATCATGCATCATGTGATAATATTAATATAAAGTGATTACAGCAGCAGATGTGAGGAATATCTGTCTGAACAACTATGTACACAAGCTTGGTATGTTGTCACTATTGCAGGAATTGATACGCACATTTGAAAGTTAGTTTGACGACATCCTTTTCTTAGAATTAGAGTGGCAGTGAGGGAATATAAAGCCATCTGTTGTAGTGGATCCGCGAAATAGTGACAATTTTTAAACACTTCCAGAGTTTGAAAACGCAACAGTTAGACACCGACGTAGGTCCAACATGATTCTATTGGTGCATGATAATAGAGAGTATTTAGTGTAAGGAGGTTAGATGTAGCGTCGTCACCGGTCTTTGCCGTAATTGTTAAGGGTTGATAGGAGTTATGTACCATGCCTGTACTCTGAAAGCTTTCTGCACTCCAAATACATTGCAAACAGGTTGGAAAGAGATGTAAAAATGTGTCCTAACCGCTTCAATGACGAGAATGCTGATGAGCGACGCCAACATCAGATACAGCCGGATTGGGAAACGGCCAAGAACGGAACGGTGTGGTTGCTCAGCAGTAACAGGTGACGCCGACAATGGAGCTACGTCACGGCCTATTGTGTCCCCAAAACTGTTGACATCACAGAACGATTACGTCAACAATCACTTGACGTCATCATCAAATCTGGCTGTCAGCACGGAACACGGCAGGCAGGCTTGTTTTTGCCGTCAGACACGCCTTGGTTTACACAGGCCAATACTGACGAGATATGGACTCGAGTTCGACTCAGGTAAACCAGACCCTCTATTCCCTGCTTGAAATACAGTCTAGAGTCGCATCTGAACAAGACATACACGCTATAAACTGGCATGAGCGTGTATCCAGGGCTTGGTCATGCGTCTGTCGGTGGTGAATCGCGCTTGTTGCGCATTTGTCCTATTGTGAAAACATGTTGACAAATTCGGAGTGGATATCTGTTTATAAGCCCAGTCTGAAACATTGTTGTTACCGGTAGGGCAGGGCATGCTTACCCTTTCGCGAACACCTGGTGTCATCATTGATTTTTAGTCATCCATTCATATAATTTTCACCACTAGTTTGCCATTTACGCTCAATGGAATGTGTTTGGGCGGATAATTGAGACTGATTGTTCTCTGGCGTTGACGTTATATATTTACACGTTTGTCCAACTATTTGCGCTTATGAAATCATGCATCATGTGATAATATTAATATAAAGTGATTACAGCAGCAGATGTGAGGAATATCTGTCTGAACAACTATGTACACAAGCTTGGTATGTTGTCACTATTGCAGGAATTGATACGCACATTTGAAAGTTAGTTTGACGACATCCTTTTCTTAGAATTAGAGTGGCAGTGAGGGAATATAAAGCCATCTGTTGTAGTGGATCCGCGAAATAGTGACGATTTTTAAACACTTCCAGAGTTTGAAAACGCAACAGTTAGACACCGACGTAGGTCCAACATGATTCTATTGGTGCATGATAATAGAGAGTATTTAGTGTAAGGAGGTTAGATGTAGCGTCGTCACCGGTCTTTGCCGTAATTGTTAAGGGTTGATAGGAGTTATGTACCATGCCTGTACTCTGAAAGCTTTCTGCACTCCAAATACATTGCAAACAGGTTGGAAAGAGATGTAAAAATGTGTCCTAACCGCTTCAATGACGAGAATGCTGATGAGCGACGCCAACATCAGATACAGCCGGATTGGGAAACGGCCAAGAACGGAACGGTGTGGTTGCTCAGCAGTAACAGGTGACGCCGACAATGGAGCTACGTCACGGCCTATTGTGTCCCCAAAGCTGTTGACATCACAGAACGATTACGTCAACAATCACTTGACGTCATCATCAAATCAGGCTGTCAGCACGGAACACGGCAGGCAGGCTTGTTGCTGCCGTCAGACACGCCTGGTTTACACAGGCCAATACTGACGAGATATGGACTCGAGTTCGACTCAGGTAAACCAGACCCTCTATTCCCTGCTTGAAATACAGTCTAGAGTCGCATCTGAACAAGACATACACGCTATAAACTGGCATGAGCGTGTATCCAGGGCTTGGTCATGCGTCTGTCGGTGGTGAATCGCGCTTGTTGCGCATTTGTCCTATTGTGAAAACATGTTGACAAATTCGGAGTGGATATCTGTTTATAAGCCCAGTCTGAAACATTGTTGTTACCGGTAGGGCAGGGCATGCTTACCCTTTCGCGAACACCTGGTGTCATCATTGATTTTTAGTCATCCATTCATATAATTTTCACCACTAGTTTGCCATTTACGCTCAATGGAATGTGTTTCGGCGGATAATTGAGACTGATTGTTCTCTGGCGTTGACGTTATATATTTACACGTTTGTCCAACTATTTGCGCTTATGAAATCATGCATCATGTGATAATATTAATATAAAGTGATTACAGCAGCAGATGTGAGGAATATCTGTCTGAACAACTATGTACACAAGCTTGGTATGTTGTCACTATTGCAGGAATTGATACGCACATTTGAAAGTTAGTTTGACGACATCCTTTTCTTAGAATTAGAGTGGCAGTGAGGGAATATAAAGCCAAATGTTGTAGTTGATCCGCGAAATAGTGACAATTTTTAAACACTTCCAGAGTTTGAAAACGCAACAGTTAGACACCGACGTAGGTCCAACATGATTCTATTGGTGCATGATAATAGAGAGTATTTAGTGTAAGGAGGTTAGATGTAGCGTCGTCACCGGTCTTTGCCGTAATTGTTAAGGGTTGATAGGAGTTATGTACCATGCCTGTACTCTGAAAGCTTTCTGCACTCCAAATACATTGCAAACAGGTTGGAAAGAGATGTAAAAATGTGTCCTAACCGCTTCAATGACGAGAATGCTGATGAGCGACGCCAACATCAGATACAGCCGGATTGGGAAACGGCCAAGAACGGAACGGTGTGGTTGCTCAGCAGTAACAGGTGACGCCGACAATGGAGCTACGTCACGGCCTATTGTGTCCCCAAAGCTGTTGACATCACAGAACGATTACGTCAACAATCACTTGACGTCATCATCAAATCTGGCTGTCAGCACGGAACACGGCAGGCGGGCTTGTTGCTGCCGTCAGACACGCCTGGTTTACACAGGCCAATACTGACGAGATATGGACTCGAGTTCGACTCAGGTAAACCAGACCCTCTATTCCCTGCTTGAAATACAGTCTAGAGTCGCATTTGAACAAGACATACACGCTATAAACTGGCATGAGCGTGTATCCAGGGCTTGGTCATGCGTCTGTCGGTGGTGAATCGCGCTTGTTGCGCATTTGTCCTATTGTGAAAACATGTTGACAAATTCGGAGTGGATATCTGTTTATAAGCCCAGTCTGAAACATTGTTGTTACCGGTAGGGCAGGGCATGCTTACCCTTTCGCGAACACCTGGTGTCATCATTGATTTTTAGTCATCCATTCATATAATTTTCACCACTAGTTTGCCATTTACGCTCAATGGAATGTGTTTGGGCGGATAATTGAGACTGATTGTTCTCCGGCGTTGACGTTATATATTTACACGTTTGTCCAACTATTTGCGCTTATGAAATCATGCATCATGTGATAATATTAATATAAAGTGATTACAGCAGCAGATGTGAGGAATATCTGTCTGAACAACTATGTACACAAGCTTGGTATGTTGTCACTATTGCAGGAATTGATACGCACATTTGAAAGTTAGTTTGACGACATCCTTTTCTTAGAATTAGAGTGGCAGTGAGGGAATATAAAGCCATCTGTTGTAGTGGATCCGCGAAATAGTGACAATTTTTAAACACTTCCAGAGTTTGAAAACGCAACAGTTAGACACCGACGTAGGTCCAACATGATTCTATTGGTGCATGATAATAGAGAGTATTTAGTGTAAGGAGGTTAGATGTAGCGTCGTCACCGGTCTTTGTCGTGGTTGTTAAGGGTTGATAGGAGTTATGTACCATGCCTGTACTCTGAAAGCTTTCTGCACTCCAAATACATTGCAAACAGGTTGGAAAGAGATGTAAAAATGTGTCCTAACCGCTTCAATGACGAGAATGCTGATGAGCGACGCCAACATCAGATACAGCCGGATTGGGAAACGGCCAAGAACGGAACGGTGTGGTTGCTCAGCAGTAACAGGTGACGCCGACAATGGAGCTACGTCACGGCCTATTGTGTCCCCAAAGCTGTTGACATCACAGAACGATTACGTCAACAATCACTTGACGTCATCATCAAATCTGGCTGTCAGCACGGAACACGGCAGGCGGGCTTGTTGCTGCCGTCAGACACGCCTGGTTTACACAGGCCATTACTGACGAGATATGGACTCGAGTTCGACTCAGGTAAACCAGACCCTCTATTCCCTGCTTGAAATACAGTCTAGAGTCGCATTTGAACAAGACATACACGCTATAAACTGGCATGAGCGTGTATCCAGGGCTTGGTCATGCGTCTGTCGGTGGTGAATCGCGCTTGTTGCGCATTTGTCCTATTGTGAAAACATGTTGACAAATTCGGAGTGGATATCTGTTTATAAGCCCAGTCTGAAACATTGTTGTTACCGGTAGGGCAGGGCATGCTTACCCTTTCGCGAACACCTGGTGTCATCATTGATTTTTAGTCATCCATTCATATAATTTTCACCACTAGTTTGCCATTTACGCTCAATGGAATGTGTTTGGGCGGATAATTGAGACTGATTGTTCTCTGGCGTTGACGTTATATATTTACACGTTTGTCCAACTATTTGCGCTTATGAAATCATGCATCATGTGATAATATTAATATAAAGTGATTACAGCAGCAGATGTGAGGAATATCTGTCTGAACAACTATGTACACAAGCTTGGTATGTTGTCACTATTGCAGGAATTGATACGCACATTTGAAAGTTAGTTTGACGACATCCTTTTCTTAGAATTAGAGTGGCAGTGAGGGAATATAAAGCCATCTGTTGTAGTGGATCCGCGAAATAGTGACAATTTTTAAACACTTCCAGAGTTTGAAAACGCAACAGTTAGACACCGACGTAGGTCCAACATGATTCTATTGGTGCATGATAATAGAGAGTATTTAGTGTAAGGAGGTTAGATGTAGCCTCGTCACCGGTCTTTGCCGTAATTGTTAAGGGTTGATAGGAGTTATGTACCATGCCTGTACTCTGAAAGCTTTCTGCACTCCAAATACATTGCAAACAGGTTGGAAAGAGATGTAAAAATGTGTCCTAACCGCTTCAGTGACGAGAATGCTGATGAGCGACGCCAACATCAGATACAGCCGGATTGGGAAACGGCCAAGAACGGAACGGTGTGGTTGCTCAGCAGTAACAGGTGACGCCGACAATGGAGCTACGTCACGGCCTATTGTGTCCCCAAAGCTGTTGACATCACAGAACGATTACGTCAACAATCACTTGACGTCATCATCAAATCTGGCTGTCAGCACGGAACACGGCAGGCAGGCTTGTTGTTGCCGTCAGACACGCCTTGGTTTACACAGGCCAATACTGACGAGATATGGACTCGAGTTCGACTCAGGTAAACCAGACCCTCTATTCCCTGCTTGAAATACAGTCTAGAGTCGCATCTGAACAAGACATACACGCTATAAACTGGCATGAGCGTGTATCCAGGGCTTGGTCATGCGTCTGTCGGTGGTGAATCGCGCTTGTTGCGCATTTGTCCTATTGTGAAAACATGTTGACAAATTCGGAGTGGATATCTGTTTATAAGCCCAGTCTGAAACATTGTTGTTACCGGTAGGGCAGGGCATGCTTACCCTTTCGCGAACACCTGGTGTCATCATTGATTTTTAGTCATCCATTCATATAATTTTCACCACTAGTTTGCCATTTACGCTCAATGGAATGTGTTTCGGCGGATAATTGAGACTGATTGTTCTCTGGCGTTGACGTTATATATTTACACGTTTGTCCAACTATTTGCGCTTATGAAATCATGCATCATGTGATAATATTAATATAAAGTGATTACAGCAGCAGATGTGAGGAATATCTGTCTGAACAACTATGTACACAAGCTTGGTATGTTGTCACTATTGCAGGAATTGATACGCACATTTGAAAGTTAGTTTGACGACATCCTTTTCTTAGAATTAGAGTGGCAGTGAGGGAATATAAAGCCAAATGTTGTAGTTGATCCGCGAAATAGTGACAATTTTTAAACACTTCCAGAGTTTGAAAACGCAACAGTTAGACACCGACGTAGGTCCAACATGATTCTATTGGTGCATGATAATAGAGAGTATTTAGTGTAAGGAGGTTAGATGTAGCGTCGTCACCGGTCTTTGCCGTAATTGTTAAGGGTTGATAGGAGTTATGTACCATGCCTGTACTCTGAAAGCTTTCTGCACTCCAAATACATTGCAAACAGGTTGGAAAGAGATGTAAAAATGTGTCCTAACCGCTTCAATGACGAGAATGCTGATGAGCGACGCCAACATCAGATACAGCCGGATTGGGAAACGGCCAAGAACGGAACGGTGTGGTTGCTCAGCAGTAACAGGTGACGCCGACAATGGAGCTACGTCACGGCCTATTGTGTCCCCAAAGCTGTTGACATCACAGAACGATTACGTCAACAATCACTTGACGTCATCATCAAATCAGGCTGTCAGCACGGAACACGGCAGGCGGGCTTGTTGCTGCCGTCAGACACGCCTGGTTTACACAGGCCAATACTGACGAGATATGGACTCGAGTTCGACTCAGGTAAACCAGACCCTCTATTCCCTGCTTGAAATACAGTCTAGAGTCGCATCTGAACAAGACATACACGCTATAAACTGGCATGAGCGTGTATCCAGGGCTTGGTCATGCGTCTGTCGGTGGTGAATCGCGCTTGTTGCGCATTTGTCCTATTGTGAAAACATGTTGACAAATTCGGAGTGGATATCTGTTTATAAGCCCAGTCTGAAACATTGTTGTTACCGGTAGGGCAGGGCATGCTTACCCTTTCGCGAACACCTGGTGTCATCATTGATTTTTAGTCATCCATTCATATAATTTTCACCACTAGTTTGCCATTTACGCTCAATGGAATGTGTTTCGGCGGATAATTGAGACTGATTGTTCTCTGGCGTTGACGTTATATATTTACACGTTTGTCCAACTATTTGCGCTTATGAAATCATGCATCATGTGATAATATTAATATAAAGTGATTACAGCAGCAGATGTGAGGAATATCTGTCTGAACAACTATGTACACAAGCTTGGTATGTTGTCACTATTGCAGGAATTGATACGCACATTTGAAAGTTAGTTTGACGACATCCTTTTCTTAGAATTAGAGTGGCAGTGAGGGAATATAAAGCCAAATGTTGTAGTTGATCCGCGAAATAGTGACAATTTTTAAACACTTCCAGAGTTTGAAAACGCAACAGTTAGACACCGACGTAGGTCCAACATGATTCTATTGGTGCATGATAATAGAGAGTATTTAGTGTAAGGAGGTTAGATGTAGCGTCGTCACCGGTCTTTGCCGTAATTGTTAAGGGTTGATAGGAGTTATGTACCATGCCTGTACTCTGAAAGCTTTCTGCACTCCAAATACATTGCAAACAGGTTGGAAAGAGATGTAAAAATGTGTCCTAACCGCTTCAATGACGAGAATGCTGATGAGCGACGCCAACATCAGATACAGCCGGATTGGGAAACGGCCAAGAACGGAACGGTGTGGTTGCTCAGCAGTAACAGGTGACGCCGACAATGGAGCTACGTCACGGCCTATTGTGTCCCCAAAGCTGTTGACATCACAGAACGATTACGTCAACAATCACTTGACGTCATCATCAAATCTGGCTGTCAGCACGGAACACGGCAGGCGGGCTTGTTGCTGCCGTCAGACACGCCTGGTTTACACAGGCCAATACTGACGAGATATGGACTCGAGTTCGACTCAGGTAAACCAGACCCTCTATTCCCTGCTTGAAATACAGTCTAGAGTCGCATTTGAACAAGACATACACGCTATAAACTGGCATGAGTGTGTATCCAGGGCTTGGTCATGCGTCTGTCGGTGGTGAATCGCGCTTGTTGCGCATTTGTCCTATTGTGAAAACATGTTGACAAATTCGGAGTGGATATCTGTTTATAAGCCCAGTCTGAAACATTGTTGTTACCGGTAGGGCAGGGCATGCTTACCCTTTCGCGAACACCTGGTGTCATCATTGATTTTTAGTCATCCATTCATATAATTTTCACCACTAGTTTGCCATTTACGCTCAATGGAATGTGTTTCGGCGGATAATTGAGACTGATTGTTCTCTGGCGTTGACGTTATATATTTACACGTTTGTCCAACTATTTGCGCTTATGAAATCATGCATCATGTGATAATATTAATATAAAGTGATTACAGCAGCAGATGTGAGGAATATCTGTCTGAACAACTATGTACACAAGCTTGGTATGTTGTCACTATTGCAGGAATTGATACGCACATTTGAAAGTTAGTTTGACGACATCCTTTTCTTAGAATTAGAGTGGCAGTGAGGGAATATAAAGCCATCTGTTGTAGTGGATCCGCGAAATAGTGACAATTTTTAAACACTTCCAGAGTTTGAAAACGCAACAGTTAGACACCGACGTAGGTCCAACATGATTCTATTGGTGCATGATAATAGAGAGTATTTAGTGTAAGGAGGTTAGATGTAGCCTCGTCACCGGTCTTTGCCGTAATTGTTAAGGGTTGATAGGAGTTATGTACCATGCCTGTACTCTGAAAGCTTTCTGCACTCCAAATACATTGCAAACAGGTTGGAAAGAGATGTAAAAATGTGTCCTAACCGCTTCAGTGACGAGAATGCTGATGAGCGACGCCAACATCAGATACAGCCGGATTGGGAAACGGCCAAGAACGGAACGGTGTGGTTGCTCAGCAGTAACAGGTGACGCCGACAATGGAGCTACGTCACGGCCTATTGTGTCCCCAAAGCTGTTGACATCACAGAACGATTATGTCAACAATCACTTGACGTCATCATCAAATCTGGCTGTCAGCACGGAACACGGCAGGCAGGCTTGTTGTTGCCGTCAGACACGCCTTGGTTTACACAGGCCAATACTGACGAGATATGGACTCGAGTTCGACTCAGGTAAACCAGACCCTCTATTCCCTGCTTGAAATACAGTCTAGAGTCGCATCTGAACAAGACATACACGCTATAAACTGGCATGAGCGTGTATCCAGGGCTTGGTCATGCGTCTGTCGGTGGTGAATCGCGCTTGTTGCGCATTTGTCCTATTGTGAAAACATGTTGACAAATTCGGAGTGGATATCTGTTTATAAGCCCAGTCTGAAACATTGTTGTTACCGGTAGGGCAGGGCATGCTTACCCTTTCGCGAACACCTGGTGTCATCATTGATTTTTAGTCATCCATTCATATAATTTTCACCACTAGTTTGCCATTTACGCTCAATGGAATGTGTTTGGGCGGATAATTGAGACTGATTGTTCTCTGGCGTTGACGTTATATATTTACACGTTTGTCCAACTATTTGCGCTTATGAAATCATGCATCATGTGATAATATTAATATAAAGTGATTACAGCAGCAGATGTGAGGAATATCTGTCTGAACAACTATGTACACAAGCTTGGTATGTTGTCACTATTGCAGGAATTGATACGCACATTTGAAAGTTAGTTTGACGACATCCTTTTCTTAGAATTAGAGTGGCAGTGAGGGAATATAAAGCCATCTGTTGTAGTGGATCCGCGAAATAGTGACAATTTTTAAACACTTCCAGAGTTTGAAAACGCAACAGTTAGACACCGACGTAGGTCCAACATGATTCTATTGGTGCATGATAATAGAGAGTATTTAGTGTAAGGAGGTTAGATGTAGCGTCGTCACCGGTCTTTGCCGTAATTGTTAAGGGTTGATAGGAGTTATGTACCATGCCTGTACTCTGAAAGCTTTCTGCACTCCAAATACATTGCAAACAGGTTGGAAAGAGATGTAAAAATGTGTCCTAACCGCTTCAATGACGAGAATGCTGATGAGCGACGCCAACATCAGATACAGCCGGATTGGGAAACGGCCAAGAACGGAACGGTGTGGTTGCTCAGCAGTAACAGGTGACGCCGACAATGGAGCTACGTCACGGCCTATTGTGTCCCCAAAGCTGTTGACATCACAGAACGATTACGTCAACAATCACTTGACGTCATCATCAAATCTGGCTGTCAGCACGGAACACGGCAGGCGGGCTTGTTGTTGCCGTCAGACACGCCTTGGTTTACACAGGCCAATACTGACGAGATATGGACTCGAGTTCGACTCAGGTAAACCAGACCCTCTATTCCCTGCTTGAAATACAGTCTAGAGTCGCATCTGAACAAGACATACACGCTATAAACTGGCATGAGCGTGTATCCAGGGCTTGGTCATGCGTCTGTCGGTGGTGAATCGCGCTTGTTGCGCATTTGTCCTATTGTGAAAACATGTTGACAAATTCGGAGTGGATATCTGTTTATAAGCCCAGTCTGAAACATTGTTGTTACCGGTAGGGCAGGGCATGCTTACCCTTTCGCGAACACCTGGTGTCATCATTGATTTTTAGTCATCCATTCATATAATTTTCACCACTAGTTTGCCATTTACGCTCAATGGAATGTGTTTCGGCGGATAATTGAGACTGATTGTTCTCTGGCGTTGACGTTATATATTTACACGTTTGTCCAACTATTTGCGCTTATGAAATCATGCATCATGTGATAATATTAATATAAAGTGATTACAGCAGCAGATGTGAGGAATATCTGTCTGAACAACTATGTACACAAGCTTGGTATGTTGTCACTATTGCAGGAATTGATACGCACATTTGAAAGTTAGTTTGACGACATCCTTTTCTTAGAATTAGAGTGGCAGTGAGGGAATATAAAGCCATCTGTTGTAGTGGATCCGCGAAATAGTGACAATTTTTAAACACTTCCAGAGTTTGAAAACGCAACAGTTAGACACCGACGTAGGTCCAACATGATTCTATTGGTGCATGATAATAGAGAGTATTTAGTGTAAGGAGGTTAGATGTAGCGTCGTCACCGGTCTTTGCCGTAATTGTTAAGGGTTGATAGGAGTTATGTACCATGCCTGTACTCTGAAAGCTTTCTGCACTCCAAATACATTGCAAACAGGTTGGAAAGAGATGTAAAAATAAGTCCTAACCGCTTCAATGACGAGAATGCTGATGAGCGACGCCAACATCAGATACAGACGGATTGGGAAACGGCCAAGAACGGAACGGTGTGGTTGCTCAGCAGTAACAGGTGACGCCGACAATGGAGCTACGTCACGGCCTATTGTGTCCCCAAAGCTGTTGACATCACAGAACGATTACGTCAACAATCACTTGACGTCATCAGCAAATCAGGCTGTCAGCACGGAACACGGCAGGCGGGCTTGTTGCTGCCGTCAGACACGCCTGGTTTACACAGGCCAATACTGACGAGATATGGACTCGAGTTCGACTCAGGTAAACCAGACCCTCTATTCCCTGCTTGAAATACAGTTTAGAGTCGCATCTGAACAAGACATACACGCTATAAACTGGCATGAGCGTGTATCCAGGGCTTGGTCATGCGTCTGTCGGTGGTGAATCGCGCTTGTTGCGCATTTGTCCTATTGTGAAAACATGTTGACAAATTCGGAGTGGATATCTGTTTATAAGCCCAGTCTGAAACATTGTTGTTACCGGTAGGGCAGGGCATGCTTACCCTTTCGCGAACACCTGGTGACATCCTTGATTTTTAGTCATCCATTCATATAATTTTCACCACTAGTTTGCCATTTACGCTCAATGGAATGTGTTTGGGCGGATAATTGAGACTGATTGTTCTCTGGCGTTGACGTTATATATTTACACGTTTGTCCAACTATTTGCGCTTATGAAATCATGCATCATGTGATAATATTAATATAAAGTGATTACAGCAGCAGATGTGAGGAATATCTGTCTGAACAACTATGCACACAAGCTTGGTATGTTGTCACTATTGCAGGAATTGATACGCACATTTGAAAGTTAGTTTGACGACATCCTTTTCTTAGAATTAGAGTGGCAGTGAGGGAATATAAAGCCATCTGTTGTAGTGGATCCGCGAAATAGTGACAATTTTTAAACACTTCCAGAGTTTGAAAACGCAACAGTTAGACACCGACGTAGGTCCAACATGATTCTATTGGTGCATGATAATAGAGAGTATTTAGTGTAAGGAGGTTAGATGTAGCGTCGTCACCGGTCTTTGCCGTGGTTGTTAAGGGTTGATAGGAGTTATGTACCATGCCTGTACTCTGAAAGCTTTCTGCACTCCAAATACATTGCAAACAGGTTGGAAAGAGATGTAAAAATGTGTCCTAACCGCTTCAATGACGAGAATGCTGATGAGCGACGCCAACATCAGATACAGACGGATTGGGAAACGGCCAAGAACGGAACGGTGTGGTTGCTCAGCAGTAACAGGTGACGCCGACAATGGAGCTACGTCACGGCCTATTGTGTCCCCAAAGCTGTTGACATCACAGAACGATTACGTCAACAATCACTTGACGTCATCATCAAATCAGGCTGTCAGCACGGAACACGGCAGGCGGGCTTGTTGCTGCCGTCAGACACGCCTGGTTTACACAGGCCATTACTGACGAGATATGGACTCGAGTTCGACTCAGGTAAACCAGACCCTCTATTCCCTGCTTGAAATACAGTTTAGAGTCGCATCTGAACAAGACATACACGCTATAAACTGACATGAGCGTGTATCCAGGGCTTGGTCATGCGTCTGTCGGTGGTGAATCGCGCTTGTTGCGCATTTGTCCTATTGTGAAAACATGTTGACAAATTCGGAGTGGATATCTGTTTATAAGCCCAGTCTGAAACATTGTTGTTACCGGTAGGGCAGGGCATGCTTACCCTTTCGCGAACACCTGGTGTCATCATTGATTTTTAGTCATCCATTCATATAATTTTCACCACTAGTTTGCCATTTACGCTCAATGGAATGTGTTTCGGCGGATAATTGAGACTGATTGTTCTCTGGCGTTGACGTTATATATTTACACGTTTGTCCAACTATTTGCGCTTATGAAATCATGCATCATGTGATAATATTAATATAAAGTGATTACAGCAGCAGATGTGAGGAATATCTGTCTGAACAACTATGTACACAAGCTTGGTATGTTGTCACTATTGCAGGAATTGATACGCACTTTTGAAAGTTAGTTTGACGACATCCTTTTCTTAGAATTAGAGTTGCAGTGAGGGAATATAAAGCCATCTGTTGTAGTGGATCCGCGAAATAGTGACAATTTTTAAACACTTCCAGAGTGGAGCTACGTCATGGCCTATTGTGTCCCCAAAGCTGTTGACATCACAGAACGATTACGTCAACAATCACTTGACGCCATCATCAAATCAGGCTGTCAGCACGGAACACGGCAGGCGGGCTTGTTGCTGCCGTCAGACACGCCTTGGTTTACACAGGCCAATACTGACGAGATATGGACTCGAGTTCGACTCAGGTAAACCAGACCCTCTATTCCCTGCTTGAAATACAATTTCGAGTCGCATCTGAAGAAGACATACACGCTATAAACTGGCATGAGCGTGTATCCAGGGCTTGGTCATGCGTCTGTCGGTGGTGAATCGCGCTTGTTGCGCATTTGTCCTATTGTGAAAACATGTTGACAAATTCGGAGTCAATATCTGTTTGAAAGCCCAGTCTGAAACATTGTTGTTACCGGTAGGGCAGGGCATGCTTACCCTTTCGCGAACACCTGGTGTCATCATTGATTTTTAGTCATCCATTCATATAATTTTACGCTCAAAGGTACGTGTTTCGGCGGATAATTGAGACTGATTGTTCTCTGGCGTTGACGTTATATATTTACACGTTTGTCCAACTATTTGCGCTTATGAAATCATGCATCATGTGATAATATTAATATAAAGTGATTACAGCAGCAGATGTGAGGAATATCTGTCTGAACAACTATGTACACAAGCTTGGTATGTTGTCACTATTGCAGGAATTGATACGCACATTTGAAAGTTAGTTTGACGACATCCTTTTCTTAGAATTAGAGTGGCAGTGAGGGAATATAAAGCCATCTGTTGTAGTGGATCCGCGAAATAGTGACAATTTTTAAACACTTCCAGAGTTTGAAAACGCAACAGTTAGACACCGACGTAGGTCCAACATGATTCTATTGGTGCATGATAATAGAGAGTATTTAGTGTAAGGAGGTTAGATGTAGCGTCGTCACCGGTCTTTGCCGTAATTGTTAAGGGTTGATAGGAGTTATGTACCATGCCTGTACTCTGAAAGCTTTCTGCACTCCAAATACATTGCAAACAGGTTGGAAAGAGATGTAAAAATGTGTCCTAACCGCTTCAATGACGAGAATGCTGATGAGCGACGCCAACATCAGATACAGACGGATTGGGAAACGGCCAAGAACGGAACGGTGTGGTTGCTCAGCAGTAACAGGTGACGCCGACAATGGAGCTACGTCACGGCCTATTGTGTCCCCAAAGCTGTTGACATCACAGAACGATTACGTCAACAATCACTTGACGTCATCATCAAATCTGGCTGTCAGCACGGAACACGGCAGGCGGGCTTGTTGTTGCCGTCAGACACGCCTGGTTTACACAGGCCAATACTGACGAGATATGGACTCGAGTTCGACTCGGGTAAACCAGACCCTCGATTCCCTGCTTGAAATACAGTTTAGAGTCGCATCTGAACAAGACATACACGCTATAAACTGGCATGAGCGTGTATCCAGGGCTTGGTCATGCGTCTGTCGGTGGTGAATCGCGCTTGTTGCGCATTTGTCCTATTGTGAAAACATGTTGACAAATTCGGAGTGGATATCTGTTTATAAGCCCAGTCTGAAACATTGTTGTTACCGGTAGGGCAGGGCATGCTTACCCTTTCGCGAACACCTGGTGACATCATTGATTTTTAGTCATCCATTCATATAATTTTCACCACTAGTTTGCCATTTACGCTCAATGGAATGTGTTTCGGCGGATAATTGAGACTGATTGTTCTCTGGCGTTGACGTTATATATTTACACGTTTGTCCAACTATTTGCGCTTATGAAATCATGCATCATGTGATAATATTAATATAAAGTGATTACAGCAGCAGATGTGAGGAATATCTGTCTGAACAACTATGTACACAAGCTTGGTATGTTGTCACTATTGCAGGAATTGATACGCACATTTGAAAGTTAGTTTGACGACATCCTTTTCTTAGAATTAGAGTGGCAGTGAGGGAATATAAAGCCATCTGTTGTAGTGGATCCGCGAAATAGTGACAATTTTTAAACACTTCCAGAGTTTGAAAACGCAACAGTTAGACACCGACGTAGGTCCAACATGATTCTATTGGTGCATGATAATAGAGAGTATTTAGTGTAAGGAGGTTAGATGTAGCGTCGTCACCGGTCTTTGTCGTGGTTGTTAAGGGTTGATAGGAGTTATGTACCATGCCTGTACTCTGAAAGCTTTCTGCACTCCAAATACATTGCAAACAGGTTGGAAAAAGATGCAAAAATGATATCCTAAACGCTCCCAGAGGGGGAATCCATGCAGTCAGAGCATGACATGTAAGTCATAGAGCAGGATATCCTGTTGGTTGGCAGGTATGGGATAGCGGGAACTATTTTCCCTCTTGTACAAGAAAGCTATAGTCCTCGCCACTTGAAATAAAATCATGACATACTGCGATGTTTAATTAATGAGTGAGGGAGTATGGTTTAATGCCGCTTTTAGAAATATTCCAGGAACTTCACAGCTCGGGATACCAGAAATGGGCTTCACACAGTGTACCCAAGTGGGAAATTGAACTCGTGTTTTCGGCGTGATGAGTGAACACTTTAACCACTAGGCTACCCTACTGCCCCGAGTAATTAGCGAAGATAGCTGCATAGACAATTATTTAAATGTACACTTTGCAATTTTGTGTCACTGCTGTAAGTAATGTGCCTTATCACCGGAATGGTTTGTTTTCACTTTATAAGTATTAGCACATAAGCAGCTTTCTTCATTAATGAATCATTGCGATATTTCGTTATTCACTTTCAAGTGGGGAGGACCAGAATGTTGTAATTTTCCAACAGCTTTGATGCAGCAAATTCATTCCATTGAAGGACTTCAATTATATCCACTACTAATGCCTCAAAATTGAGGCTCAAATTCTTGAATACATCAACAAGAAAAGAATAATTCTAAACCATTTTATTATCTTATTTTTAAGGTGAACAAAGACTCTGTAAGTGACCATGCATAAGTGAATACCCCTAAATAATCGTAACATAAATATCCGGTATGGAACCGGGAAATAGCCAGAGAAATGTCCAAATAGCACAATGAGGGGGATACAAGGGGAGGTTGTATGTACACTACACCCAACAGCAGCATATATACAGGAAACTATACAATTGCATCTTAATAACATCTTATATCACCTACAAAACAGATCGAAAAACCTTTGATTATAACGCAACTTGCCAAAACGTAAAATGAAAATTCCAATCCAGGTATGGAACCTATGAGGTTCGCAACAGCAGCTCCTGAGAACAGTCAACAAGGGCCAAGGCACAGTGCAGTCAGATTATCAGCCTCTACGATGTCCTCAGGAAACAGCAGCGATGACACGACGATCGTCACAGATGGTTGTCAAAGATGGCCGCCTTGGGCAGAATGAGCGTAAACTGGGCTAGGGATGCTCGTCTACTCCTCTACGACAGTTTCTTCAACCTCAAGCAAGAACTCAATTACCTCCTCCTCCATATTATCCTCATGGCTGTAGATCTCGTCTGTGTCTACGCCTGGAACGTGGGATATAGTGATTAGGGGTGAGAAAGCATGCAGTTCTATTGGTCTTGCTTCAAGAATACTGATGTGACATCCTATCACCTTCAAGGTGAAAAGTGACCTACCAATTTGAGAATATAAAAATGTTTCCTTTTAAATTCCCCAATATGCAAGTAATGATAGTGTTTCTTATTCAGGGCATTATTAGGATATGAAAAAATCCAATGACTCAAGACTTCATATTATCCCTGACCACACCTGAGGCAAAGAAATCAATAGTTTCTGTAACACCCTTAAATGCAGTTTTAGTTAAGCTTTCAGCAAAACAAACATCACACCAAATTCCTTTTACATCAGCATGACGAAACCTCAATATTGAAAATTGGAAATGCTGCCTTAGTTAGTGATAAGTTTTGCAAATACTTGCAAACCAGCAGGTTTTATAAACATTCACATATAAAGTCATTCTTATAATGTTGGACTCTTATGTACGATATGATATTGAACCCACCATCCCTGAGAGCTAGTCGCAAGTCCTTCTTGCCCTCATACTCCTCGGTTCTCTTGGCGCGGTACCGCTGGAAGTCTTCCATCATGGCGTGGCGCTTCTCCAGGAGCTCCTGCAGGAGGTAGTACATGTGTCAGTGTAGTGAAGGGGTCCTACTGTAGTCTTAGGTGTCATAATGCATTCATACTATCACTGGTGCCATACTGTAGTCTCTGTTGTCATAATAGTCATAGGCACTTTTCCAGTCATAACATTTTAACAGGTAACTATGCATGCAAACACAAGAGGAATCTTTGATAATGAAATATGTGACCTCACAGCATGGCATGATAGGACACATTGCTTTTTAACAATCAACAGTTATGTGCCTTTCTTCTGCTGCTGTCACAGCAGGCAGCACAGTTATATGACTTCATTTCAGACTGATGTACTTCTATACGTACCTTTGAAGCAGATTGTTTCTTGGAAATGTCCTCATTTTCAAACTGCTGAGAAAACTTCTTCATATTCTTCTTGACGTCCTGTCATAGATAAACAGAAAACAATTGTAACAACCTGAAACTTATAGTTACAAATAAAAAATCAACCACTCTAGTTTCAGATTCAGTCTTCCCAGAAATAATTTCATCAGGCTCTGTTTGTACATTAGCAATGATTAGGAAGAAAGACTATAAACAAGTTTGATCAACAAACAGGACAAAGATCCAGACGGAAACACTACCAAAGCATGCAACACATAAGATTATTAGACAAAATCTTCCATTATATTGTAGCCAGTGACAACTCAGGGAGTTAATTATAGGAACAAGATGTTTTCAACAACATAGATTCAGCCAATTGGCCAATAGCCTTGAACAGTGTTTTATCACTTGAGGCAAAGGCGGCTATGGCCTCTTGAAGTAATTGAGTATACTATGCAATGGCTACTATTGCCATTTGGCTTCCTGTGTTTACCTTAATCATCTTCTCTGTCAACAGAGACGGTGGCCTTGGTCTCCATAGCAACTGACAGAACCTCTCCATTGGCTGCTTGACCAGCAGATTCCCTTGGAAGTTCCACAGCCAGTACGCATTGTCCACCTGTAGGAAATACACACTCAATGTCAACCAGGTATTCCCTTGCTGGACACTAAATTGAAGGATCCTGAAGAAAGGTCTTGATACACCTTTCCCAACGACAACACTCCTTGTAGTCAGTCACAATTCAAATCAATGATGAAATAAGTCAGGTGACCTGTGAATATCCAGGGTAGAATAGGTTTTCAGCAACCCATTGTTGCCGTAAAAGGCGACTATGCTTGTCTAACAGGATGTCAGGCTTGCTGACTTGGTTGATGCATGTTATCGTATCCCAATTGCATGGATCGATGCTCTTGATGTCAATTATTGGATTGTCTGGTCCAGACTCAATTATTTACTGACTGTCGTCATATAGCTGAAATATTGCCGAGTGTGGCGTTAAACAACAAACATCAACAGTCAGGTGAGCTAAAAAACATGTACACTTTCTCCTCGTCAAGACTGGCGATACATAAATCAAGAAACAAAAAACACATGTCTAATGGTCCAGTGATGGTACCGACCTTGTGTCCCCACCAGCTGACAGCGGATGTAACATAGCGACCCGTGGGATCCCACTCGATGTCTGTGGCCATGAAGTGCTCTGTCTGCGTCATCACAGTCATGTCTGATGTGTCCACGAACTCAAGAACACCATTCATGCTGAAACGAGGACATTCACTCAAAATTTGCTCGGAGCAAGGTCATATTACGACTGGGACACATCACGCAGTACACAGAATCAAACTAGGGTTTGGGAGCTAATGCCTTAACCACTAGGCCACACAACCAATCAAATGAATACATAATACAAACATGAACTATCACATTTTCATGTTATCTATGACATCAGCAGAAAGTGCACCTACCTTGCAGTTTTAGAGAGGTTATTTGTGCAAAGCAGTGAGTGAGTGAGTATGGTTTTACGCCACTTTTAGCAATATTCCAGCAATATCACGGCGGGGGACACCAGAAATGGGCTTCACACATTGTACCCATGTCAGGAATCGAACCCGGGTCTTCGGCGTGACGAGCCAACGCTTTAACCACTAGGCTACCCAACTGCCCCTTGTGCAAAAACAGATTGAAATGGTCGACATGGTATTTCTGGTAATGTAACAACGGTCAAAAAACTCTCAGAAAACTGTCTTAGCAGTGAAACTCAATACAGGTGTCACAGGAGCAAGTCAAGCCCTTCCGACCTTTGTTCCGCAGGAGAATGAACTTACCTCCTCAGACCAGCCAGTATGATAAACTGCCCAGTTGGACTCCAGAACAAATGGTTGGCAAC